TATATATAATTTTGTGCTAGAGAAGGGCATCCTTTCTTATTTTAATGCCAACTATTTTCAGTTTCCATTGACTTCCGAAATGTTTTATTCCTCCACTTGCCGTCTTTTAGGAGGCAAACAGCCGAGGAGCGGGAGGCGGAGCGCCAACAAGCCAATCGCCTCATCCTGCAGCTGCAGCAGTCCGCCCTCCAGAAATCCCTGAGCGAATCGGCGGTGTCGGATCCACTATGCGCCCACAACTCCTCCCTGTACGCTCTGCAGAACCTCCAGCCGTGGGCCGAGGACAGGGAATAGGGACAGATGAAATAAATCAATCCGCTGGGACATACTTCCATTCATGCTTCATGGAGTAAAATTGACTTGAAACTGAAGCATGGGTCACATCTATTTAAACGGAGGATTTGGTGAGTGCGGCGCACTCAGAAGACGAAACTATGGATTACTTTTGTTTTACTACGGTGGGTGGAAATACCACAACTGTGGAAAACAGATCTAAATCATACTTGCTGAAAAAAAAAAAACAATCTTGGAAACATGTAACTGTCCTCTTATGCTTGCACTTATTCTGCTAATTAGAATAAGAGAGGGGAGAAATGTCTTGTATGCAGTTTGTTTAAGGGATGTAATTAATTTTCCACAGCAAACAGGAGATTCTATGTTCTGAGTCTGCATTCTCTTAACATGGCCATTTGTTGGTGCACTGGTTCTACAAAATACATAGTGTCACAGAGGAAACAAAAGCTGATATTGTTTTTCCTATTTTTTTCTTTTTTTGTTTCGTTTTGGTGGTGCTTGTTCATCTCCCATTCATAAAAATCTTCCTAATGCACTGTCACATAAAAAGCAACAATTGGACCAAACAAAAAAAGATGCCAGAAATATTGCATTTTGGGTGAGGAACGTTATTTGAGTTGTAATAACATGAAAACAGGCTTCAGGAGATAAGGAAATCTCAGCCATGCTGTAAGTTAAGGTAATAAAGGGAGTGATGCATGCTAAGAGATGTTGCTAGAGTCTTTTCATATTCACATTATTATGTTTTTGAATCGAGCCAGAAACTCTGTTTTGTACTTTTACTGTACATGTGTAGATAATATTATAAACCGTTGTTGTGATCTTTTGTTTTTTTATTCATGCTCCACTCTTGTGCACCAAAGTTTTTAAGTGTGTTATTATAAGGTATAAAAGTGTGGGGGGGAAATATGTGGGAAGAATGGTTAACACACAACATTGTTTTTTCTTTGTTTGGGTTTTCCTGAAAAGTTTATTGATAAATATGATTTTATACAACATTTCAATACACACATAATTTGAATTGACAGTTTTAGGAATCTCTGCCTGTCTATCTCTCTGTCATCTTGTCTGGATAACTGCAAATAATTCAGATGACACTATTGTTATAGCACAGTGAGAAAAGGCGAAATATTTATGTCTTTCATTCCTGCTCGCTCTTCAGAATGATGGCTCTTGTTTGAAAAATGGCTTCCATTCCTCCGGAATCAGTGATGAGGTCTAGCTCTCAGATTTTCGCCCTCCTCAGTCATCCCTCCACCCCTCACAGTGAAATTCTGGTCACTCTGAGTCATTGTTTGGGTTTTAAACAAGACAGAGCTGAAAACAAAACTGTCCTCTCATCCTTTAAACATTCTTCTGTACACTGAAGGTTCCTCAACATGAACTGATTGATGCACATGCTCAAAATTAAATGGATTTTCAAGCAGGACATTAACATCATGACACCACAGAATCTCTCTTTTACACACACACACACACACACACACACATGCATTTTTTCTTGCTTCCTATCTGTAAACCAGCTGATGATCTCTTTATTTAGCAGTTATAGAGAAAGACGGTGTAATTACAGAGTTATATCCACGCAGACAAAAGGACAGACATGTATTAGGATAAGAAACAGAAACAAACATCAGATGGTAAGAAAATACCACACAAACAACAGCTAAATATCTTTAGTACAGCTTAGTAGTTACAACACTGAAGAACTGACTTGGGTCACGCTAACACAGACTGACTGAGTTCAGCTCTGTAAACAGGTCTGCATTCTCAAATACAAGAAAAAAGACAAAATATTCTGCCGCTCACGCTGCAGATACGCACTAAATATAGTATAATGTTGACCTCTGTCTTACATGCTTCAAAAACTCTTCACTTTTTGCAGCCCTGTTACATGAAATTATGTTGAAAACAGATTATTGTCGTAGACCTTTACCGGTAAGCTGCTTTTCATTTGATAACAAGTTACACACTGGACCAAAGAAGAGACTGGCAGCATATTTACAAAGAGGCAAAAACCAAAGGCAGTCCAAGCTGACAGTAAGCCTCAACACCCATAAATGAAGGAGACAGAGACGAGGTAGACACTCAGAGAAAGACATTTTCCCAAACAGCTGAAGGTTTGTCTCAGGAGATAACCTTCTAAACCCAAAGTGGCAGTTAAAGCTCCTTTTTATTTTTTGCTTCTCTCTGATGTTATGATGTTTTTTTTTCTGCAGCAAACTCTTGACCATCTCTTATTCTCCTTATCTCTCTTCCTTTTTCATCTCTTGGTCCTTGAAGTCATCTGTTGATCCACCTCCCTCCTGACATTTGTCATTTAGATGACATTTTCAAAGAGCTGCAGAGACCTCATAATGTTTTCATCCTGTACAAAAAAGAAAGAAATTAAAAAGCTGACTTCAGAGAAGAGAACCTTCCAACAAGCACCCTTTAATTCATTTTACTAGCCACAAGGGGGCAGTATATCGTAATAAAAATCTTAATGATCTCTCTCAACACAAACACACTTATATGGAAGATAGCAAAGACCTTAATTAATAGCCATTATAGTGAGAGTTGCAAATGTGGGAGGCCTTAAATAAATGGTGAATAAAATTTGTATTATTGGAAAAACTGCTTTTTTTGGTACTGTTTCAGTTGGTCAAATCCAGAAAAAATGTGTTTTTAGCTTGCAAAAATTACAATAAAACATCAAGCACAAACTCTCAGTTATAATATCTTTTTTAAAACAAGAATCCAAAAGGTTTATAGCTCTCGATTAAGATACTTTAACGAAAGGAAATCTACCTCTTGACAAGAAAGGATGAATTCATCAAGTGTGACGACACCATCTCGATTTTTGTCCATTTTCTGAGGAGAGATGAACAAATATTAAAGACAAAAACAAGTTTTGCAAATATTTTTTGTGCCTTACAACAATAGTCCTTGAACCTTTTCACATTTTGACAAATTCCACTGACATCAAGGAATTTTATTGTAATATCCAGTGTTCCTTAATCCTGGCCCACAAGGACCACTGCTCGGTATGTTTTAGATGTCTCTCTGTCGCACCACACCCATCTAAATGATTCCATAGCCTCCAAGCAGCCATTATGCGCTACAGATGCCTCATTTATCAGCTGTGTGGCAGCAAGGAGACACCTACAGCATGCAAGGCAGTGGTACTTGAGGACCAGGATTGAGAACCACTGTTTGATCAAAACAGTAACGGTCAGGTGGGGAAAAAAATCCATCCGTCACCCCATCAAGATACACTGTTAGTTCCTGCTATAGTTTAGCTATCATCAGCTACATCATGATACTAGAGCCCCAACCTGACGTTAAAGGATCATGTGTTCCCAACTCAGAAATTTTCAGAAAGAATTTCCATCTAGAACTTTATTGGGTAATTCTAACTAATCAATATGCGTTGATCTAAATCTATTTTTTAGTACTTCCTATATTATTGTTCTATGGAGAAGTGAACCTCTGACCTGTTCTCAAGTCTTAGGCAGCATATAAATTCTTTTCTTTCAGGATCAAATGTGTCCAGTAACAAAGTACATATACTTTGTTACCTTACTTAAGAAGAAATGTTGGCTATCTATGCCTTATTCCTTTTAAGACAGCTTTTCACTTCTACTCCTTACTCATTTTTGGTAATTATGTCTACTTTATACGGCTTAAATTTTAAACTAGACTCATTAGTTTTGTTTCATTTCAGAAAATTTCCGTTATGGCTTGTTGCTGTTTAAACAACCATAAAAATAATTTGTTGTATCCAGGCAATAAATTTCTGTGGTTGGACACGGCACTGCACCAACTGTTTGTTCCCCACATACCAAAATGAATAGTTTTCCAAGATTATGCAGAGTTAAATTTGACCTTGTTACTATTAGTTATAAAACTAAGGAAATTAAGTATAAGGAAATTATCATCCAGAATTGTAGAAAAAATTTCCCTTAATAGGGTAGAGCAGTAACTAGTATAAGGTTTAAAGCATCTATCCTTAACATTTGTCCTGTATTATTTTTAAAAATGGTACTTTTACACTTTTACTTGAGTAAAAAGCTTAAGTTGATACTCTGGATAAATATTAATGCTTTGACACCTGTGTTAAGAAATACTTTCTATTCAGCTCTATCGTGTGTGATTGTATGTTCAGGGGGCTGGGCAGGGATTTCTTTTTGGCGTACTGTTTTGTTTTCCCAAATCTTAGTTCTTTTTGTCACCTGTATACAGAACATCCTAAGGCAGGCAGCAATTTTGACAATGATGGCTTATGAGTAGCGGGAAAATTAGAATATTAATTGGAAATTCATGAAGCCCAACACGTATTAGCTAAATATATCAGAACATTTGCTAAGTTTTTCTAAGATTCTAAATGGCCTCTCAGTCTGTTTTTATAACTAAACAGTCATGAAAGTGTTAAATTAAAGACACACAAGGAGGGAAAACCACCAAAGTTAATTGCAATTGAAGTAATCCTCAACTATTTTGCAAACCCAAATGGAAAAGCAAATAACTGAGGAATGGTAAGCCTAAATTACATGTGTGATACATAATTTGAAAGCTAACACCTTCTAGTTTCTGAAAATATAAATGAAAATTGGGTGAGTAAAACACAGCCTAAGCTGCATCAGTTCAGACATGACTCATGACTGTTTTTTTTCTTCTCAATAATAAAAGGTCTTACTTGAACAGCAGTAATAAAGATATGCTCATGAATAGGCATGTTTCATTGTATTACATTTGTTCTATATCATGTCAACCACAAATGCAGAAAATGTCAGACCTCTAGCTACAACAGTTCCAGAGCTGTGGGGCTTTTGGTGTCACCAGCGTCTCCAAACCTCCAAATGTGCCAAATTGTGCCAAATGCTTTTACTCAAGTATTTGACCCTTAGAATAACACTGAAGCATTTTGATGGCCACAAAACATTTATGAAGCAAGTATTTAGCCATTTTTTTCAGAAACAGTGCATATAACAAAATAAAAAATCCATAAGCCTAAAAGAACATAAAATCTATAAGAAAAAGTGAAACTGCTGCTTTTCAAGCTAAAATAACCTCCAGTGCCTTTTCTGAGCTGTATTTTTTATATTTATTTTTTCTTTTGCCTTAGGCATTGTCATAAAAGAAAGCCACTTTCCAAACTTCAAAAAAATCGGAGATATTCTGAACTGTGCCCACTGATCCAGTCTCAGCAGTGTACTTCACTCCGGTAACAAGGCTCTGCTTTATGCAACCCAGTCACATCTACCATTGTTTGAAACCTTATTTAATCGGCTACAAAGCCAAACAGCCCACATGGTTTTAACCAATAACAGCAGGACTCTATGAGGTGTAATATCGCTCTACTGGTGTGTCATTGACTGACAGGCAAGAACCCCGAGACTTCATCGACTGTCCCTGACTCAAATAAAGTCATACTAAGATGTAGACACGTTTGTCTTGTAGGTAAGAAGACGATATAAAAAAACATACCAAACATTGCAGACAAATGTTTGAGGAAGTAAGTCTTATTAGAAATATGCTAAAAGGACAAAGTTGGAAGTCAGGAAGAGCCACTAGGCACTAATTTACAGGAGATTTGACAGTTTCTCAAGTATGGGGTCCTTATTTCTGATTAAAATAAGTTTGCATTTCATTTGATAATATGTCAACCTCCCAGAGTCTAAATAAAGAATGGAGAATGTAAGAATTAACTGTCCTTCAAGTCCAGTGGGAAGTTTCCACAGTGATGATTTAGGGTGTTATGCCATCTGCTGGTATTGGGCCAATTCTGCTCCTGAAATCCACAGTCAACACAGCTGCCTAAAAGGAAATATTAATGCACATTCTGCCTCCGTCTGTTGGCAAACCTCACAGGGATACTGATCGCATTTTCCAGCAGGATTTCAGCACCCAACCACACTGCAAATAGTACCAAAAGCTGGCTCAGCAACCATGGTGTTGCTAGGGCTTGGTTGACCATCAGACTCATCCGATCTGATCCCTATTGAAAATCTACAGGTTACTGTAAAGAGGCAAATGAGAGATACTCGACCCAAACAAGGGAAATGATCAGAAGACGTATTAAAGCAGGCTGGACTACATACAAACAGAGCCCCAGGCTGATCGTCATCATAGCTCGCCTACCTGATGCAGTAAATCATGCACAAATACAGTTTCTATATGATCTTATCTAAGATTCAAATTTTCTGAGACACTATAATTATACTATATTTTTAAATATTTAATTCTATGTGTGGTAGATCTTTACAGATCTTATGTCTGAGGCAGCACAGGGTGTAAAATGATTTTTGGCCTGAAATGTTCAAAACTAGTGACCACTGATCTTTGATCTAGTTTTTTAAGATTTCACTCCAAGAGTAATCTGACAGTGCCCTGTACTGGCTCACATATGAGTTTGATGCCCAATATCTATAACACCCATCTCGCCTAATGCTTTTTTTTTTCTTCACTTTTTTACATTATTCAGCTTTTTTAAGTTGCACTTGTTGCTTTGCTGTAAGTACCATTCATCACTGCTATGGATGAAGCAATCTTGTCGTTCATACCTGAAAGAAGGCATCCACATGCTGCTTGGGAGCATCCGTTTTCAGGACAGGATATGTGTACTTCCCCATCATGTCATAGATTGCTCTGACTATGTCTGTCATTTCCTGCGAAACGGAACAGAAGCACAGCCTTAAAGAGGCCTGAGATTTAAAACCTCACAATTGAAAGGAAAAAAAATAAAATAAAAAACCTCTTTGTTGATGTATCCATCTCTGTTGATGTCGTAGAGATTAAAGGTCCACTGGAGTTTCTCTGTGACAGAACCTCTTAGCAGGATGGATAAAGCCGTGACAAAGTCCTGCAAAACAAAGAAACACAGTATAAGTCCCAAACGGATAAAAGCCAGAGCAGTAAAACAACTTTACATGACAACCAGGGCTGGACTAAGCTGGTCCATGTATGTCATTATCTCATTTAAAAAAATGCATTTATAATTGATATAAATCATTATGCAACAAATAATCTGATAAATAACTCAATTAGTATATAAAGAAACCATTCCCATTGCATTTTCACCTGTTAAAATAGATAATAAACCAGTAAAACATGAAGGAAGCACAAAGATGCTCAGGGGGGGGGAAAGGCTAAAAAGCCTCAAAGTAGACGTAGCCAAAAGCTCCAAATCAAAAACTTTGTTTTGTGCCACAAGTGTAACTTTAGCAGCAGGGAGGAGCAGAAATGCAGGTGGACTCAGGATCAGGTCAGAATAGCTACTAACAGCCTGGTAAAGTGAAGCAGATAATGTTAGCACTGGCAGAACTAATAAATGAAGACTTAGCAATAAATAGTCTCTTCATAGGGAGACTTTCACCTATTTTAAAATACTAGTAACAGATAAGTGGGAAGTAGGCTAATAGCATGCACTAGAACAAATATATAGTTCTATAAAACATGCAATCTTTTAGCAATAAGAAGCTAGTGTGTGTCAGTGTTATGCACAATTTAATACAAAATACAGATAATTTCTATAGAGAAAGCAGACGGCTGAAATTGTGTGTTCTAGTGGGGTGCCCATTTCACCATTTCACCAACAGCCATTTCACTGTGTCCCAAAGTGAGAACAGCCTTGTCTTACTTTTGCTAACAATTAGGTTTTTGGGCTAGGGTGTGAATTAGGATGAATGGGAGTCAACACATGGTCCTCACTACATATAGCAAGATGAGAAGGGATGTGTGTGGAGGGGCTTTATGTTGAAATAATGTTGTGTCAATTTTAATTTGGTATTTTAATATTATGATGTAGTATTAGAGAAGCATTGGCAGAATGGATTGTTTTTTTTATTAGCAGAGGTAGTTAGTATTGAGTTACATTTAGTTGAGTCACCTTCTAGGTGTGGTTTTACCTTGGTAATATGCTCACCTTTGTGAAGGCACAAGTAGGTCAATATAAAAAAAATATGTTAATGGAGAAATATATAACTATAAAGTATTGAATAAGATTTTTAGGCTGCTCTACCCAACTTAATCATTTAAGAAACTTAAATGATTAAAGAACTGACTTATTTCAACCAGAAATGAATCCAGCCCTATAAAAACCTACATATAGGTTTAAATAAGACTTCTTGTTGGTACAAACACTTTGTTTCTAATGTTATTTTGGGCTGAGCTATTCATCAGTTAATATAAATTACCTACTGTAGATATTGATTTAATTTGGTTTATTTTTAAACATAGATTTAAAGCGTTTAAAATGTCTTATTCTGCATACATTTTACATTTCTGTAGTCTATTTTTTTTCATACAAGTTGATTTTATATATATAAAAAACAAGAAAAAAATCAGATGTTATGATTGACTTAACTTTGACAGATGACTTTATGCTTAAGGAGTATTTATACCAAGCAGTTTTTTACTCATCACCCTTCACTCTATTTTTAAACAACACAGTACACCCTCTTGAATGCTGCATGTTTCTTTATACTCATACAACCAATCATGCTGGGCCACCATGTTTAAAAGTGGCCATATTTTGGTCCCAGTAAGCCCTGCTAGCTGTGGAAATGAATAAACCAAACCTCAAACTTTATTGATCCTGTGTGTCCAGTGTCAAAAGCATTGAACAGGTAGTGAGCGTAGGCGCTGGCATCTGAAACACATAAAATAAACAGTTAATGAACCTATTTGAGCCAACAGTGAGAAAATATTGATGCACTTCTCACCCCCATGTGGAAAAAACTTGGAGTAGATTTGTTTGAAAGTTTCTTCACTGACAACTCCACTGGGACATTCCTAAAAAAGAAGGAGTGACAGAAAAATGCAGCGTTGAGAGGAACATGGAAATCCTACAGTGACTATAATAAGATATGAAGACATACAGACATCTGGACAGAAATATTAAAGACTCAATTATCACACACTCAAATACTCTGAGTGAATTTGCACAGAAACAACATAAATTCATGTTGAGATTTAGACAAGATAAAGTAAGCATCATTAAAATGAAGATAAATCCAATATTCTACAGATTAACAGTTGGAAATAACATGAATTAAGTAAGTGATACAGTAGGTGTCATTTTATTAAGCCAATTATCAATGAGCTATACAGTTTGGGATCATTAATCAATTTCCAGATTCAAATTGTTGCAGAGAGCTTTAACAAAGTTTCCTTATAATTTGTTGCTTTAATTGAAAGTTGCTGCCTGTAAAAATATGTTCGCCTGTTAAGATTATAATACTGTCAGATTAAACCCTAAAATAAATCCACAAACTTTTTTTCTGTAAATGTTACTCACAAATCAGCATCCTTCAGAGTAACAATAGCTAACAAACTGAAACAAATTAAAAATGCTGGAAAAAACATTTCACTCCATTGATAAACATACCTGTTTTGATTAATTTCATTTTATTATTAAGAAAACTGTTATTTTTTTCTTTAGATGCTTTAGTCCATAACCTTGCAAACTTGACCTATATTTTTCCACATATATTTCACATAACTTTTAATAAATATTTAATAAAAATGGTTCATAAAGTTGGAAATATAGCAAATGAGAATTAGCCTGAATTTACAAATGTCTTGATCTCAGCCCCCAAACCCAGTGTATTTATTTATATAGCACAGTGTTAAACAGCTACTAAAACTTACTTACAATAAACAACCTACTGTTCTGAAGTAATCCTGCCTCATTATTTTATTTTGCATATTGTAGTTTTAACAATAATTACATGACTTCTTGTTTTTATTGCACTTGTATAGCATCTTACATTCTTGAAGCCCCTGTAGAGCACTTGGAGTTCTCTTTTACTGAAGTTGGTTTGAGCTTCCATCTGATCGAGACCTTCTGGTCTATGGCACACAACAGTCATCTCCAAGTCGTCATCTGCTTTGTCTGAAAGGACAAACAGAGGAACTCATACAGTTAACAACATATGGCCTTCGTTTCTATACGTTTTTCATGTCTAAAATGTTACCTTTTCACATTAATCAGCAGAATTCTCACTTTAAACTCAAAACTTCAATTTGCACATATTTCGAGGTTAGGCTTTAAACAACTGACTGGAACATTTAAACAATTAAAAAACCTGCAAGGAAAAAACAATGTTGTATGGAGATTTGTTTTGTGACCAGTCCTGTCAGTGATGTGATATGGTACAGTTGTTAGCAACATTGCCTTGCAGCTCGAAGGAGTCAGGTTCAGGCTCAAAACCATGAGCCCTTTCTGTGCAATTGTAATGTTCACCTCATGCATGTATGTGTTCTCACTCTCTTTCTACTCCAACATCCTTCCTCAAAAAAGACAGTATATAAATAACCAAATGCTCCTTCATGTATTGGCACGCACCAACACAACTGTCAAAATAAAATTCAGCCTTTGAGGACCTTTTTATTGCAAATATTCAGTTTGCAATGAGTGAGTGAAAGTGAAAGTGAGGATGAAATATGGCAGTGAAGAGAGGTAGAGGTCAGATCAGCAGTTCCATGTTTGTCCTCAGTCAGACCCTGTCATTACCAACTCATTATCCTCCTGGTTGCAGGGGAGGGGAGAAAGGACACACCATTGACTCCTCACACACTAGCATACCTATAGGTGATCATCACAGCATAAAATCAAACCCCTTCCCTTCGTCCTTTCTCTAACACACCCATCTATGCAGCTCAAAACCCCCTGAGCCCTTTAGTGTAATAATTATGCATGCTGTTATAACTGTGCATAATTTAATCTAAGTACGAATAATAATTCCGAACATGATAAAGTGCTCATAATGGGAAGCAATAAAAGCTCAGAGCAAAAAAAGGAAGTGGTCTTAGAGATGTTTAGATAATAAAGTGTGATGTTTAATGAAGGTCCTTTCAAGATAATGTCCAAGAGAGAGAGCAGCTTCGAATAAAATCTAAGGTCATAAATACATCTGGCTAACATAGATAATATACCTATAGTTGGGTTTAAGCAGCAGTTATGTGGCACATCAGCCCTAGAAAATAAAAGCTCTAACCCACAAAGATGTATCAACAAATATTGCATGGAGTAGTCGAACATAATCAAGGGCAAAATTCTCTTTTTAAAGCTTTCCTGAAATATGCTTTTAATATACAAAGTCTCAGTCTTAATTGGATAAATTATTACCTCTAAATCTGATAATTGTGTTTCAATTTAAACAGATCGGCTTGATAATTTTAATAATGATGGATTTGAACCTAAAAATGTCTCACAGTTTAATGTTTACTGAGTCCTTCAATGTCAAGACATGGGGACATTGAAAATTTTTAAATTAAGTAATTTTTCTCTCCGTGGAAAAAAAAAACATAAGGACTTTGCAAAGCCTCATTACTCCAGAGCCTTTCAAAGTCGGTCCTTTCAATAAATCACGGAACAACGTCGCAGTGCAACTATAATTACTTTGAGTAACAGTGGAGTCACCAGTTAACCCGTAAAAATGTACATAAGATAAAAAACATATCTATGCTTTAATCATTGCATCATAAATGTAAGGTTGAAACATTGCAGCCATTTTTAAAAGTCAGTCATTTAAATGTATGTCATATACGTTCTGAACTATTCTTTTTACCACACAATACCTTTCTTTAATGTTGTCTATTCATTGCCTAAGGCTTATGAATTGGTAGGACTTAGAAGTACATCAAGTGGAGTTGTCTTGCTATTTAAATGTGCCATATATATATTAACTTGCTTGCCTTGCTTTATGGTCTCTTCCGTGAATCTGTTAGACACACACACATGCTTACATCCTGCTGAAGGTCGTATGCTTCATAACACAGGGTAGAGATACTTTACAGCACCCTATCCGGAGCTTTAGTTAGAAACAGACAGTCCAAGTAACAACAAACATGAAACTAAGCTCTTTAAAGCATCTTATTTTTATGCAAAACTCTGAGATGCAATATGAAACTGATACAGCCATACTTTTCATTGGGTTTTAGTGAGCTTGAATGTGAGAGTTACAATGAGTTTTCTGTCCTAATTTAAAGCCCAGGCTTTGCAAAATGTTCTCTTTCTAAGAACATATTTTAACCACAATGATTACCATAGTTTTGAATGAATGTGAATATAACAGTATGTGCTGTGGAGGAACAAATAAAATCAGGCGGTTCTTTGTAATTTCTCATTTGAAAACTGCAAGACAGATAAAATTAGGAGACTTTATGTTTGCTATCATATTTATGGACTGAATAGAGCCTATCAAAGTAAATGATTCTAACTATAGGAGCAGCATAATTTGACATAATGATGAAACACATGACTAATGTATGTGTTCATTTAACTTTTCTTTGTTTTGGAGACTAATGAGATTATCTAACACTGGTGCACGAAAGTGTATTATCTCTGCTGCCACCTGCTTTATTCTTGTTATGTCATTACAAGAGGTGAGAAAATATCTATATTCAATCTAAGCTGGTTCCGTTAGTAGAGATAATGAATCATAACAAAATGATAAAGTTTTTTCACAAATAATGAAGCAAATATTTAGAAAATAATTATTTTGCTACTACAACTGAATAACAATGATGATCTATGTAAGTGGCAGCAGTCGAGCAAAAACTACAATACATCATATTTAGATTTCTGATATATTTTTTCCCCTTTACCAGCTAAGTGAAAAAAGTGGAACTAGTTTTTTTTTTCTCACAAAATCAGACCTGGATTAAAGCTGGAGATTAACTCACCCTCTACAGAGATGACTCCTAAAAGATGCAGCAGTTTGATAGCGCCACAACATAGCAGGATGGTGGCTATAGTCTGTAAGCTGTTGTCCCTCTGTTCCTCTCTTTCCATTCTGATCACTTTCTAATGAAAACTTCATACAATGTTAAATAAGAACAAGTAACTTCCAAAGAGCCAAGTACGTCTTTCTGTTGCATAGTCCATGTATTTTGAGCTTGCTTCACCAACAGAGATTGCTGCACTCACCTGTTTCTTTTTATCCCTCATTCCCCCATGTCCCTGCAGCATCTCCTCCCCATGCCCTGACCTTTTCTCCATGCCAGTAACTCTTTTTGTGTCCCCCTCAACAGTCTCTGCGTCCTTCACTGTTAGGAGCTGTATTTTTACTGGAGGGTCCAATCTGTTCTGCACAGTCACACTGATGAACTCACCTTCAGCTGTGTGGGGTTATGTCTGTATGTTCTCACATCAGCAGTTGATTTATTGTTTCCGTTTACATATAGGGTCATCTTTACTGAGCAGAAACTGTTTGTGAAAAAGTGACTTTTCTCTTAAAGTATGCTGAAGTTTTACTCTAAAGCTTGTTTGTTTTTTAATCAAAACTCCAGATGAAAAGTTATTCTGTCTCCTGTTTTGATCAAAGCTGAGCCAAAAAAAACAAGTTAAGCTTCTGACTACCAGCAGGGGGAGGCAGAAACCAACAGACCTTCAAAGCAATAGATCCAGCTGATGTTGCAGTTATACAGAGCTAAAACAAACAAACAAAAAAATACCCCTTTCTCCAATAAATTGTGATTGGCACTCAAAATATAAAGCGTACATGCACATGCCACACAAGCTGCTTTACTTGATTAGAAAAGCCTAAAGCTTATTGAAAACGTTACTGATCCTAAAACATGAATACTGATAAAAAATGAAAGTCAAGTTTAGTCTCTCCTATTACAACAAACTCATGTGAACAATAATGCACTGGTTTAAAATCCCAACTTGTTTGATCAATTAACATGTTTAGAGAGACTTTGATTAAATAATAATAAAAGAACAATCCTTAATTGTCTCACTGGAGAATTACAGGTGTTTTCAGGAAAAAAGGAAAAGGTTATAAAGAAGAGAAATGTATCGTTATCAAGAAATGCAAATAATTAGATGTGTAACCTAGTAGGATAAATAAAAAAATGCACAATTGTATATCAAAAACAGCAACATACTATTTACAAGGAAAAAAAGGTGTACAATTACAAGCATAAACATAAATAACATTGAGCTTGTAGGGAGCAGTGATAGTTATTTACTCTAACAGCTGCTGGAAGAAATAATCTGCAGTAATGCTCCTCAGTGCTCAGAGGGACCAACATTCTTTTTGGCAAGGAAATCTGAAACATGAATACAAACATAAAACTTGTGGTCAAATATCTTTTAAAAAATTACAAAAGGGAACGTGAAAAACGACTCCAATCAGTTTTAGTTAGCTATAAGAGCATGAAACCTGATGTTTTCATACCAGTTTGAGCTTATATGGTAAACCTTAAGGCTTAAGGTTTAACTGAAACACATATAGCCTCAAACATTAGGGAAACACATCTCAGAATAATAATGGGAACAACATCAGTCAGATGCAAACTGGAAATACTCTGACTGAGCTGTGTTCTTGTGGTGAAGAATTGGTAGAAGTCTCTAAATTTGCAAACATGGAATATTGCAGCTGTAATTGCAACAACAGGTGGTTCTTTGGGCTATTGACTCAAGCAGGACCTAACATGATTACATACCATTGTTTTAAGGTTTGTATCTTTGAAATTTAAAAAAATGAACCCTTTTTCTTGAACTTCAGAACGATGCTCTGGTTTGTATATTATCCAGTATAATCCTATTAAAGTGGGCTAAAGTTAAAAGGAGCTAGTCTAATAGTGGTTTACACATCTTTTGTGGATGTTTGGGGGTTTTATTGTAAGGTATAGCCATAAAGTAAACAGAAAATTTTATGCAGGACGAATTTTACCAGAAACTGTCTTGCATTGCCCTCTCTAGAAACCAGCAAGCTGGATCTAGACTGTTTCAATTCAGCTGTCTGAGATAGCAGAAGCTAGAAAGATTTCCACCATAATCTTTATGTATCTTCCTTTGTATCTTGACATAGTTAGACAGTATCTCACTGCTCTGAAGCCTTACTTCCATAAGTTACTTCTGATAAACTCTTCAGCCAAATT